TAAGTCTGGTCTGGTCTGTTTAAGTCTGGTCTAGTCTGGTTTGGTCTGTTTAAGGTTGGCCTGGTCTGATTTGGGACTGAAAACAGTCCAAAAGAAAACATTTTCATATTGACCGTTTCAAGATTTCAAGTAGTAGTGAATTGATTTTTATTTGAACCATGTGTAATTGTAAAATAATCGGGTAAAGAATTTGCTGCCCCAGCGCGCATGAACTTTACATATGAATATGTTCACCTTCTTTTATTTTGTTTTTATCTTATTATAATTACATTTTGACCCTAGCCCCCCCCATAACAGATTGTTGGAATAGTACAATTTATTTATATATACCATGAGCTCCGCAGATGTTAGATTATATCGGTTGGAATAGTACAATTTATATATACCATGAGCTCCGCAGATGTTAGATTATATCGGTGTTTTAAATAGCCGTAGCGGCAACGGTCATCTCGGTAGCGGCATGTAGCCGCCTATAGTGGTTGCAGCGGCGTGAAATATTTTCAAATGCGCAAAACATATACTCATTTAATAGGTATTAAAGTTAATAAAAACATTATGTACACAACATTTACACATTTACACATCAACCAGTTCGTGATGCACTGTCGGAAGTGCCGGTAGCAGGTTGTAGTGGGCTGTAGCGGGCGACGTAGCGGGATTTTTCTGTGATTTAAAAATTACACCCTAATAGCGGCCGCTATAGCGGTAGCGGCCGTTATATAGCGGTCGCGGTAGGTACCGCTACGGCGCTACCGCTATATAACGGCCGCTATAGCGGTAGCGGACCGCTATTTAAAACATTGGATTATATTAGTACGGTGTTTTGAAGCTAAACTTGATGACTGAATGAGGTTCTGATCTCATGAACATATCATAGTATGAAGTTTGTGTTTTGAATATGTAGTTTATTACGTAGTAGTTGTTATATCTATTGATATTCAACCCATTTATCTCACATGTCCTTCAATAAGTTTGTTTAAACACCAGAAAGCATCTTATATATGCACTTGAGAAGAGTTTTTGTAGTTGTTCTCTCATTCACTTATTAGTATCAAACCTACAATGCAAAAGAAATGATAGCCATTTGTCTTTTATTTATATCTTTTCTTTGGATTTCTTAACAGATACGAAATATATACTTTTCTGTACCACAGAGTCTCTCTCACTTGAAGCTATAAATTATGATCTTTTATTAGTCATGGTTTTATGCTTTTGATGTAAATCAATTATCCCTTTGTATCACTTTACATCATTAATACTACTATTATTCATATCTTCTTCTTCGTTGTTATTATACTTGGTTCTCCTTAATTATGAGGTTGAGAGTTGAGACTCCCTTTTTTTTTAACAGATTCCCTTTTTGTTGAGTTAGGTCTGTATAACCTACTTTTACTTTTACCTACTCAACCCACTTATCTCAAATGTCTTCAATTTATCTGTTTGATCACTATAAAGCAACTTATTATATATGCACTTAAGAAGAGTTCTTTGTAATTGGTCTCTCATTCACTTATTAGAGCCCGTTTGGTGACGACCTTGTTTTTGGCTTAACAGGCTTATCAGTCGATTTTTTTCACCAAACAAATAACTTTTTATTTTGCACTCTGAGTTGTGTAATAATAAGAAAAAGTAAGGTTTGAATCACTTTTCTGGCTGTATTGGCTGAAATTTGATGATTGTACCCCGTATATGGCTCATTTTTTTTGTCATCATGTTACTTCATTAAATTTATAATAATTAGCAAAATAGGTAAGCTTTTTTTCTTGATTGATGGCATATATTTAACTAAGACAAAGTACTTTATGAATAGTTTCTCTTAATGCCTTTCACAACTAATATTTTTTGTATGAAGGTATAGGTTTAAATTAGTCTTATGACTACCAGTATCAACCGAATTCCAACATGGAGATGAGATTAATGATAGATTTAGAGTAGTGGTTCCTGGTGAGGGTCATAAATGGATTCATCACATCATGGAAGTGCTACGTGCGCTACATGTATTGCACTTTTGGGAATGTGACTAGCTCTTAGTTGTGTATTTTCCAACTTTTATTTTGTGCTTCATTATGCCTTGATAATTGGTACATTTTAGAGATTTATTTGTAGCAACTACCAGCGGTTCAGTGATTGATATTGGTATATGATATAATGATTTACGTTAATTTACAAATTCAACCTGTTTTACACTTACTTGTGCTCTTATTATTCGATCAAGATGAGTAAATCTTATGTTAATTGGTTGTGCAAGAGAAAATTTAGTTACAACATGAATTTCAATTATCTGGGAAATTACTATCCCGTGTGAAGCACAGGTAAAATACTAGCCAAAATGTTACTATCTCCATCCCACTAACATTGGATAAGAGGATGTGACACAGTCACACAGTTATTTACAAAAGTGAGTTTATGTGGTTGATATTGGTTTGATATAGTAAGAATAAAGTAAAAATGATTGAGAACCACATAAACTTTACCAAATCTGGTATGTGACGCTTTTAGTTGGACGAACCGAAAATGAAAGATGAGACAATCTTAGTGGGATGGAGGGAGTATATTTTTACTTCAATGTAGTGGTAGTTCATTATAATAGTTAATAAACATTGTTTAGTCAAATTAAAATGTGACTAAAACCTTAACGTGTTATAAGTTACATTACATTTACGTAGTGCGCACACAACACAGGCTACAATCGAAAATGTTTATGTGTCAGGACTTAGATGATAACTTAAGGAGTGAACAAATTGTAGTAATTGTTTACTAAAATAAAATAGAGGATTGGACAAAATAGAATGTTGTTTACCATTTAGCAACCACAAATTTTCCTTACAAATACACAAGCACCTATGAGAAGATTTATGGCCATATTGAGGCCGCATGCCATCAATAACATACAACTCTTGGAATTTTTCATTCTATAAAGTTAATGATGTTTGAAATATTTAAATCCATCGCATTCATCTAAGAAAGCTTTATTACAATCCGCGGAGAATAAATTTCATATTTTGTGTTCTAGCTTTTAAATATAATTCTCAAGCTTTAGAGAGAATTAAATAAACTCTTAACAAATATGCTCACAACACTATGAGCCAAGTGCTTTAAAAAAAGCACTATGAGCCAAGTATACTTCTCATACTCAGCTCCGATAATTACCAAGATGGAGAGTGTTTTGCCACCTTAATATTACAAGAGTTTTTCCTAAAATGTTCCTAACAAAAAATTCATGGACAGAAATGTAACTACTCCGTATAAGTTACTACGTGTAAGCTGCGAGGTTTCAAAACTTTGGACTCTTCTATAACTTTTTGTGGCTTTCTTTAATTTATTTCATTGTTGGGAACTTTACACTCTCTCCATCAATTTGTGGTCTCAAATCATCTTTCATAATTTAATGAATCATTATGATGCTGCTACAATCTATGAGGCAAATATTGAACATCCATACGGGTGTTCAAACATATTTCATGGTGTTTATGCATATGAGTTCCCTCACAACATCAATATATAAGTTACAACAGGTTTATATTTTCCTAGAGATATTGTTTGTTAGATGATTTCTTTGCGAATTTTTCTAAAATAGTAACATGTCCTAATTTTAATCGGGTAAGACTCTAAGAACTCTTGATGATGATTTAAAGTTACCTGCAGGTATGTAGGGTGTTAGCTAGGTGTATTGCACATGATTTTTTGACTTTCTATTTCCCGTACATCATATGACACGTGTCGGAAAGTTTTTAGGCTTCTTCAATATCAATTTTTGGAGTTTTAATATTTTATGTGGTGCTTCTTTCGGGACTGGGATCCTCTGCCTTATGGCAGAGTACCTTACTCAAATGAAGGGTCAAGATTAAAATTCAGGGTATTGAGATTGGTGCAAAAATGGAACCACATATCCTATGCCATTGATTTTATGATCTAAAGGCTCACAATAAGCAGGCACCCTCCTTGTCTGCTATAGCAAGGCAGAGGAGCCGTATCCCTTCTTTCGTTCTTCGTGTATTGGCAATAATAGTCGAAACTCTAAATAATATGTAACACCTTTGTAATACCCAAAATGTGTGTGTGCATTAATGTACTTCATTTTGATTACTTTAGAATCCCGTGCAACGCACGGGTGAAAGACTAGTTGTTAGAGAGTGGGTTAATTAGAAATAGCTGATGTGGCCAATAAAGTTATAATGTATATAGTTCACCATTGCATGTGCTCTTATATTCTCCATGTCTTTACCATAAATGTCAAAATCCATTTCTAGCACGCCACACACTCCAAAAAGTTACAGAATCCCTCTTACCCCCTCTAAATTATGCAATTATGCAGCAACACTGTCAATAATTAATCTAAAATTTCCACTTGAAAATAAGCCTACTCAACATCCTCCCACAATCTTGCTATTCCCAAACCTTTTTTGTAAAACAAACACAAACAAATTCGAGTTACTCTCTTTCTTTTCAAAGTTGATTCACATGACTGATCATCACATTTCATTGATGGAGATCTATTCGGGAAGAAAGTAGTGTCATATCCCAAAGAAAAGTACAAAAAAATGATCCAAGAGCACAAATAGGACTACATGTTTTTTTATTCCCCTAGTAAGACTATTTATATGTATATGGACAATGTACCCTTGAAAATTTTGAAATGTCTTAATTAATAATAAATTCATAAAAAAATAATAAAAAAATGTCAAAAATTATTAAAAATGTAAATAAAAAGAAATATGTAAAAAAAAAAAACGGTGCCGCCTCTGCCCCCCAGCACCACCAGCTCCCATACTAAAATAAACGGGGCGGGTATATGGCAGGTAATGAGGCGAGCATGTATAAAATCGTAACCGCCCTGTTACCCGTTAAAATAAAACAGGTATTCCCCGTCCCGTACTCGTTACCTGCTCAAAATGAGAGTCTAAACATTGTTTTCACCTGTTTGGCTGTCTCTGATGTTTTCTACATTTTATTTCTCATTCGTACTTGATAGAGTATTTAATTCTAGAGAGAAGTGAGAGCTAGATAGAGAAAGTGAACAATTAATATTTCTCAACCCCCTATAACTACCCCTTGGGGGCTATATAGCTAGGAGCCCATTACAATAATCATGTATTTTTTGGACGAAATAAGGCCACTAATGGACTGAGTACAACTCTTAGTGAATTAAGATAGAAAAATACATTCTACAAGGGTAGTCCTTGGCCGGTGCGATGTCTTTGGCCGATGCGTTCCCCGGTCAATGGGGGACCCATTTTGTCTACGAAGGGTTTCCTGAGCAGTTCTGTCTCTGGCCGAAGGCTACCACGTGGATGCCCCTCTGATGATGTTTAACCTTCTGAGTATTTTTCCACCGTTTTTTTACAATACTCATTAGTGATTAGTCATTACCCCTATTATTTTAGGCTTAAATGTTGTGCCCACCTTATTCTAGAGAACTTCGGAGTACATGAAAAATACGTGTCTTGTGTGTCATCTGATCTTTTATCTTTCCACTCTCATTTCAGAACAGATGGCCTCTAGAATTTATTAACAGTGATTAATCACAAGCTTAAACCGAGATATAATTACGTTAATGGATATGGAGACGCCAGCCGACATCATAGCCGTCCCATTTCCATATCAAGGTCACACAAACCCTATGCTTCAATTCTGCCGTCTCTTAACGGACGCCGGCGGCCGCCCCAATGTCACCTTAGTCCTCACCCACGACGTCGCAAAATCCATTCACCAATCCTCCCTCGCCCAAATCATACACACGCTAGAGTTAATCTCCGACGGAAACGACGGCGGCGCACGGCCTACCTTCGAGGAATACCGCGCGCGCGTGCAGGCCGCCGTCTCGGAGGGGGTCGCCGCCGTCATCGAGAAGCGAGAGAGGGCCAAGCTTCTAGTGTACGATTCGATGATGCCTTGGCTAGCGGAGATCGGGAGAGCGCGTGGGCTGCGCGTGGCTGCTCTGTTTACACAGTCTGCTTCGGTCTGTAGCATCTATTACCAGATGCTTCAGGGGCGGCGCGTCGGAGAACGGGTGGTGTCTCTGCCTGCTTTGCCGGTGCCGATGGAATTGCCGTCGTTTTCCTTGTTCGGGGAAATAGCGGGAGAAGTGGAAGAGTTTACGTTGAAACAGGCAAGAAACATGGGGAAGGCTGATTGTCTGTTGTTCAACACATTTGACGCCTTGGAAAAGGAGGTATGAAGAGTGTGTTTACTTTATACGGTTTAATGCACCAAAACCCCGTGATTTGGAAATTCGGCGCATTAGCCCTGTGATTTAAAAAATGTGTCAAACCCCCATGTGTTTTAATTAATCATGCACAGAACCCCCTTTATGAATAAATTTAACGATTTGAAAATCACTTTTCCTAATATTTTGATTGAATATGCAAATAAATATGTCAAAATCTCTGAATCATACAAAAATGTTAATCATTTTTCTTTTATTTGACAATTGAATTTGTTCACATAAGGGATTGGGCGCATGATTAATTAAAACACAGGGAGTTTGACGCATTTTTTAAATCACAGGGGGCTAATGCGCCGAATTTCCAAATCACAGGGGGGTTTGGTGCATTAAACCCACTTTATACAACGGAATGAACTGGGCCAGACTCATCCAAAACTAATGAATATTATCTGGGCCCAATATAAAAAAAAGTTAATGGGATTGGGGTAATTCTATTCACAGCCACTAAATTACTAATTACAGCCACAAAATATTTTAAATATCTATTCTGCCCTTACACAATACTCCGTATATTACACTCGTCGATTATACAGAGAAGGCATCAGTAATCTCACGAAACCTCGACGATACTTTTTCATCTTATTCTCCTTCTGTCATCAACAATAATCTCTAAACAACCTTTGTGTGTGCACTAAACTCATAGAATCTTGTGTCTCGATTTCTGAAGCCTGCGCACTAATTGCTCACTTGTTTGAATTTCTGAAGCCTAGAAAATCTGCTAACTAAAATTTTAAGCTTTAGATGATTCGTATATTGATAAATCTAGAAAACATAAAAAGGAAACGTTGAGAGCACCAAATGAAATCCAAACTACGCTTACAATATAAAATAGATGCCAACCAATACGAACCACAAATTAGTCTATCATTAGCAATATAAAATAGATGCCAACCAATACGAACCACAAATTAGTCAATCATTAGTGCTTTGATTCCCCACTAATACCAACCACAAAGTCAAGAGCTGCTAATTTACCGAGCTAATTAAATATCCACGCCACTATATCACAAAATTTGGCAAAATAGAGGCGAAATAACCATTAGATGAGAAGAATGATTAGATTCGAGCAAACTTTTTCCACTATAGAGAAGATTATTGAGGTTCGTGCGTGAAGTTTCAGGCTTCCAACTCAATAGCTACGCCACCGTTGATCACCACTTCTGGAGGCAGTCAGTCCGCCGTCAGTGAGACGCCGTCCGACTTTATCCCCTTTCTCCTTTTTGTTCTTCATCGATTCAGGAAGTTCAGACGACATATAGCTTCTACCGTTCTACGGTGGCTGCAAATTTCAAGTCTAGAAACTCCCGTGTTTTCAGTAATAAGGGTATTGTAGGAATTATAAGAATACGTGGCTGTGGTTAGTAAATTAGTGTGTGTGATTAGAATTACCCATGGGATCGGCGGGTAGGGCTGATTTAATAAACTTCTAGTCGTACCCGTCTATGTAGATTGGCTTAAGAGTCTGGCTTAAGAGTCTGGATAGGGCTTACCCATATGTAGTGGTTATCGGTTAGCGGATAACAGGTTATGTTAGCGGGTTGTCCATAGCAGATTCAATTAGCGGGTTTGACTAGCGGAATAAGTTGACGAGTTGTCAGAAGATATTTGGTAATCTAGTTGTTTGGCCATAAAATTAGTAAAAAACGCCATTTTCAAAACGCGAACTCAAAACTCTCCTATTTGCAGCGTTTTCATTTCAGCGATTCCGTCCTAAAATGCTAGGCCGAACAACTATTTACCAAACAACGTTTATTAATTGAAAAGGCTAAAAGTGGCCAAATCGTCATTTTTTTGCTGAAACATCAATTTCCAAACACCCCTAGGCATAGATGGACTTGCAAGAAAAAAATATAAATTTTTTGTGCATCAAAAAATGTAATGTAGTCGATTGAGTGGGTGTGAAAAAGAATTGATTTCTCCACAAAATACAACAATAAAATAAAAATTCAAACTTATTTATACTTTATAATGTTTTGCAAGTACATTCTTGAAATTGAGATGCACAAATACGACATGCATTCTTCTAATCTAAACTTCGCTGAGCTTTGTGATAAGTCTTTGTCACTAACAATGATCAAGAACTTCATTTTATTCCATATCACCATTAATTATTCAATTTGTGTTTGATGTAATAATATACATAAGATATTTCCTTTCTTAATTGCTTTACTAGGTTTCAAGCCCGTGCGATGCACGGGTAGTACATAATTTAGCTAATTTTAAATTATTTGATATTTTCAAAATCATATATAATGGGATGCAAAAGAAAAATAAACTCAATCTAAATATAGAGTTCGTTTGATAATACTTGTAGTAAAATTAGCGAAATCAGCTTATTTTACTGAAATTGATTAAAATCGGGTTGAATCACTTGAATGGGCTGAATAGGCAGAATCTCTCAACCCATGAAAAAAATTAAAAAATATTTCACTTGTAAAATAAAGAGACAATTATATGGAAAGTATTCAAAACGTTCTTTTACATAAGCATCTCAACTAAACACAATTGTGGTGAACCCAATTTTAAAGAATTCACAGAGAAGCTTCTTAATTAATATCATGTCTTCTAAATTATTTTATTATGCACCTCAATTTTTTTCATATTCCTCATTGAACTTGGTATGAACTGTGGAGTATTTACTTTTAACTTTTAATAGTAAGATATTACATTTGACTCATTATTCCATCACATTGAAAGTGTAAGAAATGGAGTGTTTTTACATTTTACTCATTATTTCGTCACATTGAAAATGATTTTTAATTGTTATGAACGTCTATTTTACTTTAATGAGCATTTCAAAATAATATTTTTCTAATATTTCTCATTCAACTTGGTATGAAATACATATTTTTAAATTTTAATAGTGAGTTAGGTTCTTACATTTAACTCAATTTGGTACTCCGTAGTAAAAATAAAGAAATGAAACAATCCAACATATTTACTTTTGGCTAGACTAAATGTATTAACTTGTGAACACACATATGCATGTATGATATCAACTTTCATCCTTATTAAATACTACGTAATAAAGATAAGCTACTTGATTATAAGTATTCTCTTTATATGATTCTATATATGAATGTCTAATAGTACTATTTTCGCTTTTAATTTCAAAATTTCGGTGGTTATAATTTTCATCATTGTGTTAATAATTAAGAAACCATTATACGAAGATGTAGAAAAATACGAAGTATTAACACAGTTTCAAATCTATAGCTTAAAATTTTAATCATGATCTCAACATTGAGTTTAGAAGAATAAAATATACGGAGTAACATTTTAGGAAATAGGACACTATTAATACTTTTTTTATATATAAATAATTTTGAAGACAAAATAAATAGCAATTTGGCTGATTTATCTATTTTTTTAAGGAACTGATTTATCTGTTAAGTGGGCAAAACAAAGATACTTTGTTTCTTCAATAAAATGTAATAAAAAATAAGAAGTATAACAATAAAAAAAAATTATACGTGCTTATAAAAGTACTTTATAAAAAGTACTTCGTATGATTGGTTATTTAATAAGTGTGATTCCAATTAATGAATTTCATAACTATTAAATAGGTTTTGAAAAAGTTTCCAAATAAAGTGGATTTGTATCATAAAGTCTTTTGTTTCCATATCAATATGCAATCAAAAATAGAATCTAATAAAATAAATAAAAGATGCGGAATATTAAAAAAATTAAATGATGGATGACATGGCATGATTAGGTAGCGCTTTGTATGCTCTTAAAGAGTTCCTCCTTTATATATATATATTGATTCTAGCTTGCATTTTACCGTTTACGAGTGTTTAGTCTTTCAAGAAAACTAAGACTCAACCAAGTTAAATGGGCTTCTGGACTGTGTTTAGTTAAGGTTAATATGGGCCTGGGTGAATCTTGACAGGCTAGATGAATGGGCCTAAACGAATTTTAAATACGGAGTACTATATCCCATGTTCATCTCTTGAAATGGTGTGCTTGTCTGACCCATGTACTATATTGGGTCGGGTCATGTTTTTTAGTAAATTGGATGAGCAGGCCTCCATGGGTTCATGAGCCCTAGTACCACTAGCTCTTACAAGAAAAACTTTATTTACCACGAATTTTTTTAATGACTATATATCAATTTAAAAATTAAAAGTTAATGTTTATACACTGAAAATATTTAATTAAGTTAGAATAAATGAAAAAAATCATTTGAATTTGATAAGAGATCGATCTATACTTTTAGTCTCCTAATTGTTCTTTTGCCCAATACTAGTTCTGTAAGTCCGTAGCATCACTTAGAAATGTAATTAGTCATGTAATTTGTGCAAGTCTAGTTCAATTAGTTGAATATATTCCCGTTTGGTTTGGTTGGATGAAAGTTCATCTTGATTTATTAAATCAAATCCAGTCTGGTATAAGATGAAATGATGAATAAATCCCACTGCACATGCCAAATACAAAGTAAGAATTCATTATTTGTATTTATCTAACCATGAAGGCATGAACAATATATTAAATTTTACGGAGTATTTAAGAATGCCGTTATTAAAGATCGAGTCTCACAATCTGAATGTATATGGATGAGACATTATAAGATCAAATTATGCGGTTGAAACAGTGTACACCTTTGGTATACCTTTTGTATACACTTTATGTGTACACCAAGCATAACCCTAGATTTATTTGAGAGAAACGTTAGGGGTACACAAGTTGTACACAACTTGTACACAAAATTCTCGTACGGATTTGTCTGTGAACACAAACAACTATTGTCTATATACACAAATAACTTTTGTCTGTGCCCACAGACATTAACTTCCGTGTGAAATAGTACATTGACAGGCTGACAGTCGTCTTTTGTTTGTGCCCTCAGACATTAACTTTTGTGTAAAATAGTACACTGACAGCCGCCTGACGCCGACACGAGCTTGCAAATCATTCTATATCTGTACAGTGCCTATATGCACAGACAATATTTTCCTGTTGCATGGACAATTATTTGTCTGTGTGCACAGACAATATTTATCACACAGACATTAGTCGTGCGACTCACAGACAATTCTGTGCGATCAACTTTAGTTGTTGGCGCGATCAATTTAAATTGTCTGGATAAACAAGAAATTTACTTGTCTATATACATCAAAATGAATGATGTAGTTGTATGTGTGATCGATTTACATCTAATTTGAACAATTAGAAAAATAATTAAAATAGAGGAAATAAGATAAATAAATTGATTTTGTGCAAATAATGGAAAATTTTGACATAAAAAGGTAGAGAAAAAGAGGATGAAAAAGGGAAGAGGAAGATGGAGAAGATGATCTCCCATATTTTTGTTGAGAACTTTCGAATGAATTGGATAAAGAGGAAAGCGAGAAGGGAGAAAGGAGAAGGGAGAGAGAAGGGGGAGAGTGGGAAATGAGTTTTTTGGGGTTTTTATATGGTGTAACTTTGTGTACCCCTAGTATTTTCCTTTATTTAATTTAGATCAGATCAATCTAAATTACAATAGTACTCCCTCCGTATCAAATTACTTGACCCACTTTCCTTTTTTGGGTATCAAATTAATTGACCCCTTTCCCTTTTTGGAAAGAATCTCACTCAAAAAGCAGTGCTACAGTACCGCTATAGTGTCGCTACAGTACGAAAACCCTCTTACTTTTAATAAAGTCTACAGTAATTGTCTTAAATTGCGTGAAAAACAAATGGGTCAATTAAATTGATACGGAGGGAGTAAGTGGTAACAATTAAGATTGGATTTTTCTGTTCTCTATACTGTAAGACTAGATTCAGTAGAGAAAAGGACCTGATACGTCATACGTCAAAAGAAATACAGAGCAACAAATAAAACTAAAATCCTAAAATGATCTGAAGACATTGAAGGGTCTATTAATTCTCTAAATTACTTGCAGAAATTACTCGAAACAGTAATAGTTCCAAATAGGAATACTAGAAATTATAAATAAGCCTTATAAGAGTATAATTTTAATTAAAAACATAAGAAGATATAGGATACAGTTAGGAACAGGGCACGGAGAGTCTGAAACGATATAAAGAACGTTTTTGGAAAAAATATTACTCAAAATTTTACTTCAAATATTTGGAAATTCTTTGAATTAGAGGTGAGTCAGGGTCTAAATTGCCCCCTAGATCCACCCATGGATAGTGTAGAATTTGCCTAACATTTATTCTATTTAAAGGTGAATTTGTTATATTTTGGTCAACTTGTAATAATCTCTAAATAATTTATATCTACTTGCATGTTTTTTTTTTTTTTGAGAATATCCACTTGCATGTGTTAGGCAGTGAAGTGGTTATCAGAAAAATGGGCGATCAAGACAATTGGACCGTTGGTTCCCAGACCAGACAACAACATTGACCTGTACAAGTCAGACTACGACCAAGACTGCATGAAATGGCTCGATGCCAGAGAGCCCAGTTCGGTGGTCTACGCATCCTTTGGCACCGTAGTGGTCTGGTCAGAGCACCAGATGCAAGAAATCGCAATGGGTTTGGCCCAATCCAACAAATACTTCATCTGGGCCGTTCGAGACTCCGAACAATCCAAACTTCCCAAAAACTTCAAGCCAAACACGGCACAGAGAGGGCTCATTCTAAAATGGTGCCCCCAAGTGGAGGTCATGTCCCACAAAGCGGTCGCGTGCTTCCTTACGCATTGCGGGTGGAACTCCACGCTCGAGGCGCTAAGCTTGGGCGTGCCAGTCGTTGCTATGTCCCAAATGGTTGACCAATCCACCAATGCCAAATTCATTGATGATATTTGGCAAGTCGGGGTCCGAGTGAAGGTCAACGAGCATGGCATTGTTACGCGACACGAAGTCAACGATCGCATTCTGGAGGTATTGGAAGGGGCGAGAGCCGATGAAATTCGAAGAAATGCAATCAAGTGGAAGGGGTTAGCAAGGGAGGCTTTGATGGAAGGAGGAAGTTCTGATGTGAACATAAAAAATTTCATCTCACAATTGGCTATGTAAGTATGTAAATGTAATGAGGATGGGGAATATGGGATTTCCTTAAATTAAAATTCACTTCATTATTATGGTAGCATAATAGAAAAAGAAAATTTGTGAGATGCCAGGTATGTAATACTACTAGTGCATTAAATTATTAACTAACGACTCTTTCATTTCTATAAAAACTCAACACTTAGATGTTTTTACTTGACTCTAATTTGTCTCAGACCAGAACAGATCAGACCAGACCAGACTTGGATAGTTATAAAAATACAAAGAAATCAGACCAGACCAGACCAAAGTTTGAATTAGTAGTACTATAAAACAATCAATATTTAGAATTTCCATTAAAAGTTTGTTTGAAGCACTAAAAACGAATCATAATGTGATAGAAATGTGATACTAAAAATAGAGAATAAAAAATGGCAAATTTAATAGGAGTTGGCTAGAAAGTTACAAAGTTCTCATCAACTTCATCCCAGGGTGGGAGTGAGAAAATTATACACTAGGCATTGAATTTCAAATTTTAATGATTGTGATCAAGCACGCATTGTGGAATAAAAAGACTTGACCAAAGAATGAATGAAAATTAATAAAATAGTCAATTTGGAAACATTAGTAAAAATTTATGCATACATACGGCCAATAAAAAGATTAAAAATTACTCAATATAGGATTGACAAAATTATAAAAATAGAACGAAGTATGTTTTATTCCGCAAATATGATTTATTAGTCTTATTAAAAGAATAACTTAATTATTATTGTTAAGTATAACAAAATATATAACAATCATAAGTCAAAACATTGCCATCATAATGTTACAGAGAAAAGGGACAAATAAGCCCACGTAATAATAAAAAAAGGTCAAATAAGCCCTTATATAGGAGGCTCTGTCCGGCCGTCGCTATTTGGGGCGGTTCCCGGTGGATTTTTTTGATGAAATATTTTGAGCATCTTATTCATTAAGTCTAGTTTACTCATACTAAATTTCAGCTAAAACTTCAATCAGGAAGGCATTCAAATGAATTCTTGAAGATAACTGTGCAGTTAAAAGCGCATTTATCTTCAAGAATTTATTTGAATGCCTTCCCGATTGAATTGTTAGTTGAAATTTGGTATAAGTAAACTAGACTTAATGAATAAGATTCGTAAAAAAGTTTATCAAAAAATTTCACCGGGAACTGCCCCAAATGGCGACGGCCAGACAGAGCCTCCTATATAAGGGCTTATTTGACTTTTTTTGGTTAGTACGTGGGCTTATTTGCCCCTTTTTCTTAATGTTACATGATACACTAAGGTGAAATAAAGAACACAAAAGACCTATAAAAACGCTCATGTTCTCTAACCTTGCAACCATATCATATAGACTGGTACCGAAGTGTGACTGCTCATGTTACTTGAAATGAGTCTGATTTAATTGACCAGCCACCAAAAAGGATCTATGAAACTTCCCAATTTTGCTAGCCACCGATAAGGAGCTAGGTGCAAAAGTTGTACCGGTTTCACCAACCACTGGAAAGAAAACCATCCATTTAATCCCATCACCCTTGACCTGGATGACTTTGGTTCAAGAGGGGATTCGGCCATGTAAACTATTGATGAAAAATCCATTACAAACCTATTACTAGCACACAAGAATACCCGACACATGATGGTGGGAAAGCTATATACATTAAACAAGTGATACTACGCCACCGAAAATAACATGTCTAGACAATACTAGGAAATACACGTATAATTAGAATCGAAAATATTGATTAAATGTAACCTTTTTTCTAAAGAGCTAACCACATAACCAACTTTATTACTTTTAAGACTTATTGGTAAGCAGGTAATAATTTACATTGTTTAATGAGTGCTTTTAACAATTATGTTCTAATATGTTCTGATTATTTAAATGAGATTTGGTAATAATTATAGAGTAAAAGAATCATGTCTGAATTTGCTTTAAACTCATGCCTGAGATTTGGCAATATTACTCTAACACTTATTGGTAAGCAGGTAATAATTAACATTGTTAACTGGATGCTTTAAACTCATGTATGATTTGTTATTTTTAAGTATGATGATGATTTGACTGAAAGATTTAAAAATAATACGGAATATTTATCAATATGGGCAATAGTTATCAGGACTAATTATGTGATAGTTCCGGAGGACAATAGTTAATTATGAGATAGTAAAAAATTGACATTGTTAAGTGAATATTTTGTGAATATGGATGGTTTTCTTTTTTCTCTAAAGAGAAGCTCTAGGGTCCGTCTCCCCTCTTTGTAGGGGTTGAGATTTTCCGCCGCACCTATCAATATGGGCAGTAGCGTGTCCACTATAGGGGCAGCGGGGACAATTGCCACCACTCAACCCCAACCCAACCTTTATATATATGTAAAATTTTACAAGAAATTGCTCAAAATAAGAGTTAAATGTAGGGGAAAAAATCTAAAATAGGATTAAGAGTGTTTTCTTTCATATTAAACGAAAGAAATGCTAAAGAATTCACTAAATTTTGTTATGTTTAACTTATATTTGGGTATTTTTCTCAAATTTTATACGCAATTGCATCTTACACACCATTAATATAAATTAATCTTCTTTTTATTCATACTTGTACATATATATCTTAAACTAAATTTAATCAAACAACATTAATAATGAGTTTTGCTATTTGTGAAATATCAGACTAAATTGTAGTGCAAGTTTGTCCCCACTCGCCAAATTTCCTGGATACGCCAGTAATTATGGGGTTGGATCGGCATATTATATTGATTATCAGTGTTCTAACACTTGTGATTGCAACTACGTCGGAGGAGATAGCGTTGTCAGATGAATGAGGTGCGACTGAGAGGTTGTATCGAGGTGTGATCGTGAAGCCTTGGTCGGTCACTCCTACGGTGGTGGAGTTGGTATTCACCCATATTGTAAAAGTTCGTCCTCCTCCGGAACCACCTCCATACCAGGAAGAGATTTGTGGAAAGATTTTATTTCAGTATTATTTTCTCTTTAGTATCACTTGTTTCTGTTTTAGTACAAGTAGATTTAGTTTGAATGTTTGGATTTTTGGGGTTCTTTTGATAGGCAGGGTTTCGGTTCCGATAGTTTTAGGCCTAAATTTGTCCGTTTCAGGTTTAGCGAGTCATGTTGCTTTGTATGAGGAGTCTGACTCTAAGTCTACTCCTAGCTAGCGTTCACGATTGGATCTGTAAATTTTGTTTAAAGGTTGTCTTGTATGTGTTCTGAATTTTAATATAACGGTCGCTTCTTTATGATGAAAAAAGTGAATATTTTGTGGAAAGACTTTATATTCCAATTTTATTTTTTCTTTAGTAGTGCGGAGTATTTGTTTTTATTTTAGTTCGAGTTGGTTTGATTGGATATATGAATTTTTTGGAGTACTTTCGACAGCGTTTCAGTTATTGTCATTTTAGGCTTAAAATTGCTCGTTTTGTGTCTAGCGAGTCAGGTTGCTTGTTATGAGGTGATTAATTATATGTCTATTACTAGGGCTTACAATTGAAATTGTCATAACTGTTTGAAGGTTATCTTGTATTCTTTCGATTTTTCCCCAAAATAATGCTAAAAACAGTATTTGCACAATTAGGGTCGGATTAAAAGTACCCAAATACTGTTTGGCCAAACTACGGTTAGTGAAAGTCGTCAAACCAATTGGCGACTCCTCAAAAAATACTAAAGAAGTGCGTGAAAGCTAGCCGGGTGAAATAGGTGGGAAGAGAGGTGATGAGGGCCTATATATGTAAAAAAATCTTTTTTTCCATAAATTGCTATAGCTTCCGTATTCCTTCTCCATTTTTTGTCAAAAAATTCCTTCTCCAATTTTTTAAGTCTTGATTACTCTTGGCCCCCAGCCCCCCTTCCCCACACCAATATTAAATATATAAAATTTTAAAAAGTTCTGAAGACCATATGAGGTGAAAAAGCTAATTGCAACTATGTATTCACCATGAATAAATCTAATCCTCAATCTGTTTAAACGGAAATTTCGTATTCACCTTGTCAATATAGTGTTTCGTTACTAACACTATCAATATATTCACCCAACATAGTTTTTAGTTAAATTCTTACGCATTTTTATTCTACATCAACTTTTAGCTACAAAAATATGAAGATTCGAGTGTCCAAAGTTTTTTAGGCTCAATTTTTTTCTTAAGCAGATCCGAGTGTTAAAATTAGGACCTCATCATTATTTTATACATCTTTCAATTATTTTTCAAAAAAGACTTGAAGCAATAAAAAATTAGACTGCAAGTTTTTATTGCATTTATATGTCTACGTTTTTAAATCAAAATGTAATACATTTCAACGCAAAAAAAAAATCTTGAATTAATTTTTACATTAAAAAAATTAAACTCTTGATTTAAAAATTAAAATCTTGATGTAAAAATTAAATCAAGTGTATTTTTTTTGCGTTGACATGTTTTACATTTTGATTTCAAAAGTTAAACATTTTGATGTAATTTGATATAGTTTTTGAAAATATTAGAGCGAGAATATGATAATAGTGTTGCAAAGAAAAAAAAAAAATTTACCTAGGCCCCACCACTCTCTTTCCAGTTCCTACCCATTATTTCCATCTAGCTTTCACGCAGTTTCTCCACATTTTTTAAGAGTCACCAATTGATTTGGTGGCTTTCCCTAACCACAGTTTGATCGAGTAGTGATAAGTCCGTATTTTGACACACATTTGATGTGTGTTGGGATTGGATTTTGATGGTTTTCTCAGCTTTAAGGTGTTGCAAGTCTCAATTTTAGCTCAAGTTATGTTTACCGGGCGTTGGTTCGAGTTTTGTGTTGTTTGTAGTCAAAATCAGGGAATTTGAGCCCAGTACCGGCACTTGAGGAACAATCGGGATGATTTGAGAAGCATTTGAGAATGATTTGATAGATTTGGAGGTCACCGGAAGATTCACGATGAAGATTTGAAGGTAAAAGAGCTCTAGGATAGGCTATGGGGTCAAAAGAAGATGAATGAAGCTTGAAAACGACGATCAGGATGATCTTCTGTCAATCGTTCAAGCATATCTCTTTGTAGAAACATCCAATGTACACGATTCAAGTTCCATATGAAATCTAACTTCAAGGGCTACAAATGATATGAAGACACCTTTGCGAGAATCTGAGAGGAAGAAGGTGAAAACAGATGATGAAGTCAGATGATCTCTGCTGCGATTTCAGAAAGACACCTTCCACCGTTTTGATCATATCTCTTGATTGGATGATTCAAATCATATTCGGCAACTTGGGGTGGATAGAGGACTTCATTATCTACAACTTTCATGAAGGACGTTTTGCCAAATTCGGAAGTTAAGTAAGCAAGATCGTGCCCTCAAAGTCAGGCACGATCGTGCGTGAAGAGAAAGCACCACGGAGTTACTGCCAGCCAGGCACGATCGTGCCTGGAGGGAGGCACGATCGTGCCTGCCCAAAATGCGCGTTTTTGCTCCGGAGGCACGATCGTGCCTGGCTCCGAAAATCCTAATTCAGCTCAAATTTCACCCGATTTTTCTAATTAAGAGAGTGTTTGCGATTGCTTGTGCTTTTTAAAAGTGATTTTTTAAGAGATTATTGGAAAAGTGATTTATTCTAAAAGTAGGTAGTGTTTGGGAATAGAATTGATTGTAGTAGAAAGATAAAAGTTGATGTGTTTGATAAAAAAAAGTGATTTTTAATGTTAAGTTTTATTGAAGTACCAAAATACCCTTAAAGGTATTATACAGACTGCCCTTGCTCTACCTTGCTGCTACTTCAGGGTGCAGAGATATATCTATATAAAAACAGAGACTGCTTCCCCCGTTCAGCTACCATAGATCATCGAATCTCCAATTCAGGTTCTCAAAGCTCAATCTCGAATCTCCAATTTAGCTTCCCAAAGCTCAATCTGCTATTCTTCTATAAGCAATTACCATATGCTTTTGAGGCAAGCAGAAATTATAGAAGAAATCTGACTAGCTTCGCGAGCTCGCTGGTGATGATTATATCATCAACTGATCATTGATTCTGTCCTTTTAGATACTGGTGCTCGGATTGTACTATCCTGCTTCCGCCTTTTTTAGTTGGGGTTTTCACCATAACCAGCTCTTGTAACGAAATACAATTGTATACTTTTTATAAAATAGAGAGGGCCGTTGTTGTTGAATAATCAGCGGTGAAGCGTGAGAAAACTGGAGAGGAAGACCCGTGACAGGGATGAGATGTTCCATCTCGTGAGAGTGAACAGGAGAAGGGGCATTTTGAGTTTCAACCGATTGGATTCATCATCACAACTGCCCTTGAACTTTGATTTATTTACACAATAACCTAGAAGCACTAAAAAGCATCCCTTGGGTTGCTTCTAGCTTTTGGATTAAAACCACTTAAATTAAGCAGAAGCTTGGCTACACAAACACTACTTTTGGCTTTTTTAAAGCTAAACCCACAAAAGTGTTTTTAAAAAGCAAACGCAAACACTGCTTAAATAGTCTGTAAACCCCCGTTTTCAAGGGGGGAGCTTAGAGAGAGTGCCTAGCATGAATTTTAGAGGGCTTTTCAGCCTTGTTCATCAATCTTTTGGTATTCTTTGTAAGTTCCATCTTTTTAATTAATGACAATTAATTCTATTCTTCCCAATTCTATTGATTTTTCAATTATGAATTGTGAGTAGTTTAATTAGGGATTGGGATTGATGAAGGGGTTGATCATGATGTATGGCTAGTTTCTTGATGGATTAATTGCATGAATGTCGTTTAATTTGTGTTTGTATAATTTAACTGATATCATTTGTAACCTAGAACGCGCGCTAGAATTACAATTGCTTGTAGAATAAATTAAGAGAGATCTAGTTTATTCTAGGACACCTTCACACACACTTAATCGTTCGCTAAGAGATTAGTAGCGATTAAGAGGCCGTAAGCTCGCTCGTCTTGGCAATAATTTAGGATCCTCTTTACCCCGTTGTGCATAGTGCATTTGTGGTCATCGAGGGCGATGCCAAAGTTTAAGTGTGGGGGAGTGAATTGGGCATTCGGGCAGTAGTTGTTACATGTGATTTTTAGAGTTAGCATGCGCAGGTGTTAGTTGTATATTCATAGGAAATTCATGTCAAAATTTTTGAAATTTTTTCTTTAAACTGTGTCTTTGTGAACTGGCTAGCGTTTGACAATGCTTTTAGAATGTCCTTGAAGTGTTTAGGCTTAAATTGCTTGCATGATAACTTGGTTTTTGAAAGGATGAAGGCATTAGTCACTCATTGAATGAATGAACAATTTTCCCATTTGACTTGAATAAGTTCCTTTAGAAGAAGCCACTTTGAGCCTGACCATTCTTTGTTACCCAATTAATTGAGCTCCATAGCCAAATGACCTGTTTCCTTACCCGTGAATATTTCTGGCTTAGTCTTGATGTTTAGGGAATTAAGGGATGAATTTGCTAAGTTTAGGGAATTTTGGGTAGGAGCCATTTTTGGCATTGTTCCTATGCTCCAAATGGGGTAAGAACAGTCATCTTTTAGGAATATGATACTTTCGAGGATTGCATTGTAGGCATGGATTCACTTTTAAATTAATGAACTTTAATTGTTATTTTTCCTTGGTGAGGCCGAGATTAGAATGGGGTAATGTCTAGTGAGAATCCAAAAGATGAAAAATTAATATAGCTAGACCTCTTACTTTGCGAAAAAGGGAATGGGAGCCCCGGTCAAAAAGCGTAAGATGAGACTTGGGTATCTTTCGAAAGAAACGGCGTTCTCGTGCCAACATGACAAGGAAAACTAAACTTAAATTAATGAACTTGGAGGCTATATGAAAATTTAGCTTTAATCCTCCACGTACTTCAAGTATACTTTTTTTTAGGCAAGAAAAGACACAAGTGTTGCATTAAAACTGCTGAAACTATTACCTTATAGAAGTGTTACATAAATGGCAAAATAAAAAATACAACACACAACTTCTGCATAAGGATGAGGCAAATACATCTACTCATTAGATTGTACTAACGAAACTCCTTTGTGAAGGTTGGCTATGGTGGAAGCAGTTTCAAGGAGACCGTTTCTCATAACTGCAGCTTTCAAGGCCACATACTCTTTATATTTTGATAACGAATCAAGAGTAGCAAATAACTGGCGAGCACAATCCTGCACCTCTTTCTCGCTTTGTATCGTTACTTCCTGCAATTTGGCATTTAATGCATTGAGAAAAGCTGATGCCTCTTTCTCGACAAGCTCAATACGTTGACCCTCTGCTTCAATATTCTCTGCCATGTTTTTTGCTTCAGATGCACATCTAGATGTGATCTCTAATGTTTTCCTCTGTATTCTCTCAGGTTGTCCTTCAACCTCATCAATGTGAGCTTGAAGAGAGGTAAGGTGGTTCTTTTTCGATTCAATTTTAGTAGTTCTGTCCACAGATAGTTGCTGAAGAGAGATCAATGCTTCTATCTTCTCCATGGAACTTTTCTTAATTTCCTCCTCCAAGGAAGCAAGTGCAGGCTTTAGAATAGATTTGTAGTCTACTCCTAAGACCTCCTCTAGTGAGGATCCTTTGGCCTCCAACTGATAATGCAATTCCTTTCCTAGTTTTAACCTTCGCATAGCTTGGTTGCACTCAATCATAAGCTGCTCAAGTTTCTCCAAATTATGTTCCATCATAGAGTCCAATTCCCAACCCTTCTCCTCCCATTTATTCCTTGCATCCTCAATTTCTGCAATGATTCCTTCCAAGGCCTGCAATTCTCGCTTCATCCTTTCAGCATCCCTGGCATTAATTCCCTGCTCTTCAACATCCCTGGACTTCAAGTATACGTCAAAGCACAAATGCGCCGAGACGGTTCAGTTTAGTTGTACACCATGTCTACTCTTAGCATAGGTTTAAATGATTGTTCCTAAATTGTGGCCTACTGAGTTCCTTGTTCCTAAGAATAGCCCTGAAGTTCCTGAATACATTGAGTCTTTGTTAGAATATTCCAATCTCTCAAAAGAAAGGGACTATTATTGTTATCCATGATCCATTCACCACCACCTTCACAAGTCCTTCTGATCAATAACTAGTTTATTTGTGTGTGCTGTCACTACTTTGAGGATGTTGTGAATAATTTTGTCAAATATTTTAGCTAGAGTACAAAGATGTAGTTTAGGGAAGAATTTTCTTGGTTTAGTCTGCCTGTTCTGTGAATATCCCTTTAATTACGTGTGCATGCTAATTGTTTTGATTCCGTGTGGTGATTATCGTAAGTCCCGTTGTTCAGTTTGCTTGAGGACAAGCAAAGGCTTAAGTGTGGGGGAATCTGATAAGTCCGTATTTAGACACGCATTTGATGTGTGTTGGGATTGGATTTTGACGGTTTTCCCAGCTTTAAGGTGTTGCAAGTCTCAATTTTAGCTCAAGTTATGTTTACCGGGCGTTGGTTCGAGTTTTGTGTTGTTTGTAGTCAAAATCAGGGAATTTGAGACCAGTACCGGCACTTGAGGAACAATCGGGATGATTTGATAGATTTGGAGGTCACCGGAAGATTCAAAATGAAGATTTGAAGGAAAAAGAGCTCTAGGATTGGCTACGGGGTCAAAAGAAGATGAATGAAGCTTGAAAACGACGATCAGGATGACCTTCTGTTAATCGTTCAAGCATATCGCTTTGTAGAAACCCCCAATGTACACGATTCAAGTTCCATATGAAAGCTAACTTCAAGGGCCACAAATGATATGAAGACACCTTTGCAAGATTCGGAGAGGAAGAAGGTGCAAACAGACGATGAAGTCAGATGATCTCTGCTGCGATTTCAGAAAGACACCTTCCACCGTGTGGATCATATCTCTTGATTGGATGATGCAAATCACATTCGGAAACTTGGGGTGGATAGAGGACTTCATTATCTACAACGTTCATGAAGGAAGTTTTTCTAAATTCGGAAGTTAAGTAGGCAAGATCGTGCCCTCAAAGTCAGGCACGATCGTGCGTGAAGAGAAAGCACCGCGGAGTTACTGCCAGCCAGGCACGACCGTGCCTGGAGGGAGGCACGATCATGCCTGCCCAAAATGCGCGTTTTTTCTCCGGAGGCACGATCGAAGGCACGATCGTGTCTGGCATCGTGCCTGGCTCCGAAAATCCTAATTCAGCTCAAATTTCACCCGATTTTTCTAATTAAATAGCCTGTAAACCCCCGTTTTCAAAGGGGAAGCTTAGAGAGAGTGCCTAGCATGAATTTTAGAGGGCTTTTCAGCCTTGTTCATCAATCTTTTGGTATTCTTTGCAAGTTCCATCTTTTTAATTAATGACAATTAATTCTATTCTTCCCAATTCTATTGATTTTTCAATTATGAATTGTGAGTAGTTTAATTAGGGATTGGGATTGATGAAGGGGTTGATCATGATGTATGGCTAGTTTCTTGATGGATTAATTGCATGAAAGTCGTTTAATTTGTGTTTGAATAATTTGACTGATATCTTTTGTAACCTAGAACACGCGCTAGAATTACAATTGCTTGTAGAATAAATTAAGAGAGATCTAGTTTATTCTAGGACACTTTCACACACACTTAATCGTTCGCTAAGAGATTAGTAGCGATTAAGGGGCCGTAAGCTCGCTCGTCTTGGCAATAATTTAGGATCCTGTCGCATGAGAGATCAGCCCGGTCCCCTAAATTATTGTACTCTACGCCGCGAGAGCGGTAAGAACTTAGTTATGATTAGCTAGGCTCAATTGAATTAATTTCATGTAATTAGGCCTCATCTGTCAGAAATCTGGTTACCCTGGAATCAATCCCTGTTCCCTTCGTAATTAATTAGAGAGAACCCATTTATTTTAATCGTTTAGTTGCATTTTAATTTTTCATACCAATCATAACTCGCACGACGCATTTATTTTATTTATTTCTTTTAATCGCTGAATTTAATTAATTCTTGATTCCCTTTTGTCCGTCCCTGTGGAGACGATACTCGTACTTACACCACTATATTACGATCTATTTTAAGTGCGAGAAAACACACATCAAGTAGTATTGATATAAACTAATTAGTAGTGCATAAATGTATATTTTTATGTTTGATTTGTGTGTATTGTTTACCATTTTTATTAGTTTGTAAACATTTTTTTTATTTGGTTTGTAATTGTTTTTAGCTCCCATTTATAAGTTGTAAAGTACTGGTAGAGTTTTTGGCAAGGAAAAGGAGGAAAAACAAGAGGAATGCTGCCCAGGGACACTTACCCTATCGGGTAGGAATACTCACCCGGTCGGGTACGATTTAACAAGCGAAAGTGCCTGGAAAATCACTGGACCCGGTCGGGGCCCCTACTTGACCCGGTCAGGGCCCCTACTTGACCCGGTCGGGTCAGATGTGACCCGGGACAAAACGACGTGCTGAAACATAAGAACGTGGAAGATTATCTGATTTTGACATGCACCCGGTCGGGTGGGCACTTGACCCGGTCGGGTACCCGGCCCAAGGTGTTGAAAAACACCTATAAATAGCACATGTTTCCTTCACAAATAACCATTCCTTCTTCCGTACTCTTAAGCTCAGTTTAGAATAGTATTTCTTTTATACTTTTATAACATGTTTAGTCTCCAAATGAGGAGCTAAACTTCCATTTCTTGGTGTTGCTCTTGAAGCTTGTTGATTATTAAAGTTGTGAGTTATTTTCTCAATTTTTTCCCTTGAATATTAATTCTTCCCTTAATCTATCTCTATATTAATGCTGGGGAGTGTTGCTAAGATGACAATTAGTTAACTTCTCGATATTAATTACTACTAGAAACGATCAACGAACCGATGTTAATTGTTGATGGTTTCACAAGTAAGTAACTTCGATTTATTAATGCACGGTCGTGGTTAATAAACTTAAGAGGGATTAAATTTGTTGGTTAAACCGAAACCGTTGTGTTGAGGTTATCAATCTCAATTGATTTCATCAAGGAGTTAAGAGATTAAATGCTACTATAAAATCGGTATACGGCGTTGTTCTATAATTGATTAATAGTAAGAGTTAAGAGATTAAATGCTACTATCAAGTCGGTATATGGCGGTGTTCTATACTTGGCTAATAGTAAGGGTTATTAATGAACGGTCGTTGTTAATAACTACCCTCAATGAATTGGATATACTCCTCGATTGAGTATTCGAGAGGGGATAAGTTATAGATATAACAATGATCGACTAAAATATATCAACAAGTGAAAAGTAGCAAGACCAGGTTCTCTTTATCTTTTAATTAAATCACATATAATCAAGTTGTTCATCTTTGTGTTTAATTAAATCATTCAATCTCAAAACCCCCCTTTTATTTACTAGTTTTATTAAAAAGAGAATTATTCCTTTCCCTGTGGATACGAATTCTACTTCACTTATATTACGTATAAGTGTTAGTATCGAATATTATTTTGACAATTCGTGACAAAGTGCTCGTCAAGTATTTTGATAAATAGTTTTACCCGACACTAATTTCGTGAATACTTTTTTTATTTAGCATTATTTCGGAAAAGAACTATGTTCTTTTTCGATATGAATATAAAAATCATTAAATCGCATATGTCCAGATTAGGTTTTCTAAATATGAAAGGTTCAGTGCCACCATCTTGGTTGGCCTAGGGTTTTGTCCGGCGGCAGGCTTCTTGGCTGGCCACCACGTTTTTATTAGTTAGTTTCTGGCAAGGACAAAGGGTTGGAGCAAGATTTCGGCTTCGGCGGTTCGAATACATTCGGTATCGGCGTTGACGAAGGGTGCAGCGACGGCTTCGGCAGATTCTCTGCGTCGGCTTTGAGCAGTGCGTGGAACGAATGGAAGAGTTGATGCACCAGTACAAGAGGACGGTATTAGAGGAAGAAAACACCAACTTGAATTTTGATGATAAGAAGGATGGAGAGTTGTTTTCAACTGAGAAGGGAGCTGAATTTATGGTGATGGGAGTTGTCTTCAAGAATTGGAAAGAAGTTACAGTACTGCCGGATCGTCCCCCTCCCGAACCGCCGCCGTGGAGTGCAAGAGAGGCTATGGTTTGGATTTTCTGGCAACGGAAGTATTTCTTATTTTGTTTTGTTTGTTTTTTCAGTAATTCTTATTTCCGTTTTGGTGTTTGTTTTTTCTGTTATGTTCCAGTTTGTAAGACGTTGATTTTGGATATGGGGGATGAGAGGAATGTGGTAACCAAGTTAGGCTTTTTGTTTCCCGGTTATGGATCGCGAATTATATTGGTACGACGATTAATTCTGAGTCTGATTCGAGGGATGACGGTTATCAGTTTTCTTTTTGTCAGTTGACTCATACTCTGAACTTTTATTGGTTATTTATCTAAACCGATTTGAGTAAAAAAAAATCATTAAATCAGATATCTTACACTATCGCACGTAATTAAAAAAAAAACAATCTTTGACCCACCAAGCTTAGCTTGAATATTCATCAGTCTCTAGCTTGCTAAGCAATTGCCTACCGACCAATTTTGCTTTGGCCCGTATGATTCTGTATCTATTTCGTGATTAATCGTGAATATATATGAATTCAAATGGATTATTCAACATTTTTCCTAAGATTCTGTATGCATGGCTAACTAATCCTTATTCTTCACTATTCTTGTTATCGATCATTTTGGAATAAAAAAAAGTAAACCTTTCATGGTTGAATTGAATGCTTACTCTTTCAATTTTGATTTCATCTATAAGTTTAAGATTATGTTTGGCTGACATAAGTCTCTAGCTTTTGGCTTTTGTACTATTTAAAAAGTCTCTAAAAGGTGCTAGTTGTTTGTTTGGCACGCCAATTTTTAAGAGTTTTTCAAAAAATAAAAGTTCTTTTTTG